TGACACCTTGCACCACCCTGTCCCACCTGGGTGGCTTCAGCAGTGTGGGCAGGGGGCAGGCCCGATAAAGCAAGGCCCAGCGAGCTCTGCTTGTGTGTGACGCTGTAGCCTCCATCGCCCACATCTGCAGCCAGGTCCCCACATGGAGATTAAGTCCTTTGATGGCAGGGTTTAAAAACAACAGATTTCTCTTTGGTAGGAACATTGAAATAACATCTTTTCAAGTCTGTTGAAGATCCGAATATGAATAGGATGGGGGTGTGGCAGGAAGGGGTAGTGAACGGAGGGGGCTGGGTCCACAGCTTGGTCTGTTCTGAAAGGGGTGGTGGTGAAGCTTGCTTTCTTTTCTCTATAAAATGACAAAATCACTGTGGGGACATTTACAGCCAGAATCTCTTTGACATTTTTAAATCTCTGAAATCATCAAAAATAAAACATTATACCATGTGCACTGGCAAGGGAAATGCTTTACATTGTAGAGTCTAAACGACACCAATGGAGACTATTTAGCTTTGTCAAGATTGCTCTCTGAGTTTTTGGATGATTGAAACATTATAGTTTCCTGTGCAGTGTTTACCTCATGTGGAAGGTGGGGTGGAGAGGACTCAGGCATTACTTACAAGTTATTGAAGACACGGCGAGCACGTCAGGTTCCCATCTTCCTCTCAGAATGCAGGGTAAGGGACAGTGATGAAAATATTTGAAGGGTGAAACACTGTCCAACCATCATTCACTCAAACTACCAATGACTGAAACCAGTCTTCACAGCAGGCTGGTGGAAGCCAGGCCTGGACCCCAGCCTACCCCTGAGAATCTAGGAAAAATGAAGGAGCTTCAGCTTCTCATTCAGAAGGACTAGGACAGAGCCCAGCGATCCCTGGAGGGCTGTGGAGCCTCTGGCCCCCTCCCGCAGCCCTCTGGCCCTTTGCAGTGATGACTTCCTGGGCAAAGCTCACAAATAAGCACTTAACCAGAAAGGCAAAGAAACAGCGGAAGAAGGTAAGCCGGCTCTCACCCAAAGTCACTCGGACACTTATAAATAAATCACCTGCTTCGTCTGTTCCCTGCCTGACATTCCATCATGTCCAACAGTCCAGCCTCGACATTAGTTGCTCAGTTAACTATCCTTTAGGAGCCGATGTGATGCCAAAATCCAGCCACCCACCAGCGCTTAATGACCACACTTGGCAAACACGCTGACAGCAGAGATGCCTCGTGTGGGGCTGAGCATGCTGATCCTCGCACAGAAGAGGCAAAGATGCAGGTGCAACCCCACCTCAGAGGACGGGCCAGGGTGGCAGTGCAGCCGCAACCTCAGACACTCAGCACAGTGTGACCCTGGACTGTGCCTCCTAGGAAGCTCTGGCCATAGTATGCACTGAGTCTGAGGCCGCAGTTAGACCAGCAATGCTACTGCTTTGTACTGACAGAAGCATAAGCCTCCACATCCAAGAGGGACTCGGAGGGGTGTAACCCTATGTGATGAACATAGATGGGTCATTGCACTTGGAAATAGGAGGCAAGGTCATCTTTGTGTCTGGATTCCTTCTCTGTCATTTTTACAAATGCACTCGCTAGGCTTGAAGAATAAGAGGGTCACCTGACCAGAACTTATTTCGTGGCAGTAGCCCAGGTAAAGGACCGTTTTGTGCTGCTGGGACAGGTGTGGGCAAAGAGCTCAACTGCAAACTTGTCCAAGAAGAAGCTTCTGGTTCTTCTTAAGCTTTTGGGATGGTAGAACCCTTTGAGTATTATTTAGGCAGAACTCTGGGCCCTTGCTCCAGAAGAAATGTACATCTGCATGAATTTTGCCTCCGTGGGACCCGTGGAGCTCATTATAACCCTCAGGTTAGGACCCAGCTTTGGGAGTTGACCAAAAGTCCCTCTAAGGATTCCTCACTGTGATGTGCAAAATACTGAGTTGTCTCTGATCATATTATAAATAACTCGTTTTACCAAAAATCCAAATGATTTACAACTTCTTAGCAATGTCTCTGCAGATAAAGCAAGATAACCTCTGAGATGTGAAAGAGAAAGGCTGCATCTGAGGGGCACGCCTAAGAGGAACTAGTTTTCTCCAGCACGCACATGAGCTGCAGGCCCATTCCCTCGAGGCTGTCTGAGTGCATCACCGATTTTTCTTGGGTATCTTGTCTGCTTCTGATAATTTATCTGAGCGGTGCTCGTCTCGGGTAGGTTTAGTGACAATGTTAGTAATGAATTTGCACAGGTTCACTCACCCTGGTGTGATTTATGGCCAGCTAGCTGAGCTGCGGTCTGGGGCCGCTGAGCACACGCTACCTCGCAGCAGAAACACGCTCCTGGTTCCCCCTGCTGGGTTGCCGTTTCCTCCCCAGCGCTCCGAATGCATTCTCCAGAGCGCTCACCAGAACTAGAGGAATCACTGGTCAATCCAGATTCTTAGCCGGCATGACAGAAGTGCTAGGTCTGGGCAAAACCTTCCTCCTGGACAACTGGCACGGAGTGAGGTATTGGGTGGCTCCGAAGGGCTGAGAGGGGCTGAGCAGGCACCCCTTATGGCGTGCAGTCAGTGCCCTGCTCAGGGGACGAGAGGCTGAGAGCCAGCTGGCTCTTGTTTAGCAAGCTCTGCAACCTGGGCGCCACCTTGCCCCGAGGAGGCAGTTGTTTTGATCCCACACAGGCACTGTATGGGTGCACAGGGCCCTTAAAACGGCATCTTGCTGGATGGGCCCCAGTCAGCCGTGCAGAAGCGGAGTCCTGGGAGTGAGGCGCTCTCTGACCAGGACCGAGGCTCCACAGTAAGGACAAAGAGGACAGGGCCCAAAATCACCCGGTTTGCATTGGTTTGGGGGACCGGCGTCTGCTGTAGCGTCCAAGGAGCTCAGACCCCTCCGGGGAAGGCACCCTTGCCAGCCCAGGAACACTTGAGCTGGGCCAGATATGAATGAGAATGCTTCCCGCTGACGAGTTGTCGCAGATCATTTCCCAGGTTCATCACACTGGGCTCATGTGGTCACGAGTCCCCTTGAGAAGTGTCTTTGTCCTTCAGGAAGATCTGACATGACCAGAACACTCCACATCCTGAGGACCCAATGTCAGATGCCACCACCGAGCCAGGTGGAGAAATAAAATGATGTGGTCACATCCCAGCTCCATGGATTCCTGGCCACGTGGCCTTGGGCACATTGCTTACACTCTGGTGTGTTCCCCTGCATAACAGGAAGAATGATGACCATTTGCCAGAGCTGCTGGGAAGGTTTAGTCACAGGTTGGACATGGTTTGTTCACTAAAAAGATCTCAGCACTTTTGCTCTGTGTTGTAGACCGTCCTCCAGTTCACAGGTTTCTAAGGCAACCAGAGACCATCCCAGCCCCTTTCAAACAGCCATAGAAACATGTACCCTTCCTATCTCCCTCTTCTTCTGCCTGGTGTCAGTGATTACTCACCTGTACGACATATGTTTGCTGTCCACACCACCCCCAACCCGTGGCCCTAATACACATTCACATTTGTAAGTTTCTGAGGGCCAAGCTGACAGCCGGTTCAAATTTACACACCCTGGAGCCTCTAGCACATCATTAAGACTGGTGCCTGGATTGAATGGTTTAGGGTTATGGGATAAATATTCAAAGTCTAAGAAGAAAAGCTGCACATATACACACAGCGGTGAGCTTTCACACTTGAAGATCTCCTCTGCAATGAAACTGTTTCTCTATCAGCAGCAGGCTTAGGCAGCCATGTGAATAATTTTAAACGGCCTGAAAAATTACCATTGATTTCAAAGCATGGACTTTCGGCACCACAGTAACATATTAAATCTCCTTTTTGAAAAAGACAAAAGAGAACTAAAGAATAAATTTCCACTCCAGAGGGTGGGGATATGGGTGTACTTATACAACAAAATTAATTTATTAAGCTGCCTATTTTCATAGTGGATGACCAGCAAAGGACATTTAGTGTCTGTCTAGAAAGCCATGCAAGTGAGACTCAGCTGTGCCCCAAATCAGAGGGAAGCTGACGTGTCTCCAGCCACCAGAAGGGATGACTGTGTGACGCAGACCATGGGGCTACGCCCCCCACCCAAGACCCCAGTGCCTGGAGGCCGGTCAGGGAGAGCTTGAGGCCCCCCTGCCCAGGGCCTAGCTCCCTGGGTTTGCAGCCACACATTGTTACCCCCAAAGGCAGGTGCTATGCCCCCAAATTTGAGTTCTGAGAGTTGGGTCATGCCTGTGGTTGCTTTTTTTGTTATTCAGACTCTAGGCTTTAGAGGGGAGTGTTGGTTTTCAACTAGAAGAAGATACCTCCCAGGCTTATGTGTGATGACGTAAATGGATACCCATCATTCATAATTTTTTTGTTTCTGTGGCCTTTAGTAATCTTGTGATTCCCAGTAGAAAATGCTCGGAGCTAGAACAATCCCATTATAACTGTCTTTAGACTGGAAAAGAAAAATTTCCCACTGTCCTTTACCTCCCCATCTTCCAAATGTCCCTCTCCAGCCAAAAACAAAAAGGGACCTGAAACTTTTCTACTTGGTTTCAAGCTCAAAACAGATTCTATTTATTTATTTATTTTTAGAATGCATCAGTTAAATCTGTTCATCTTTTTTGAGTTGAGGGACTGGAAGAAATCACACATCGTTTCTGATGTGATATACCCATGGGCGGTTTTGCATCCTACCCAAAGATAGCTCAACTTCATTTTAAGATGTTTTGCCTTCTATGGCAATCAAAATCAAACTTCCCTAAGTAGTTGTGTACTTGTGGGTTACACAACTCTGAGCCCTCATTGGCGGTGCTGCCTGTGGTCTTGGCTTCCCCTTGGATGAACTTCTAAGGCCTGGGGGCAGGTATGGACGCTGGCGCTCCCATGGGCATACCAGTGTCCAAGCTGCTCAAGCTCCAGGAATGAGATGAGAGTAAAGAGCAGGACCGCCTTGCCTACACATGGGCTTTGTCAAAGGTCAAATGGCCTAATGGGAGACAATTGTTTCTCCTCCCCATCTTTATCTCCACAGGGACTAATGTCAAGTGAGCGGGAAGGAGAAAACCAGGAGACCAGCAGTGTTAAAGTCACCTAGTGCTTCTGGCTCTCACTCTGCTCACCTGTAAAATGGAACCAGATGCTCTCAAAGGTGAATCCCAGTTCAAACTCAGTCTCATGCATTTCTTCTCTCTGGGAAGACCCCAGCAGCTGATCAGGGTCCAGGAAGTAGCTCCAAGCTCCCCAAACTTCCTCCATCCAGGCTGCCTCCTGCTTGTACCTTTTCCTGCCAGATGAACAGCCTCCCTGCCTCTCAGGCCAGGGCAGGGCCACCCCTCTGCTCATGTCTCCCCAGGCTCCCTCCAGCCCTGGCCACCCACGAGCAGCCCCCTCCACTGGATCCCACCAACAAGATATCGGGGGTAACATATTTATAACCAGGACAAGCCTTGGATAAATCTTTGTCACTCTTCCTGAGCAAACTGATTGTGTCCAATATTACAAATTCCCTTAGATACCTACCAGCTTCCTCAAACTCTGCTTACCCCTTCTCCTTAAATGAAACTTCTTCTTTGTCCAACTGTAATACTTCCTCTGCAGCCCTTTTAAAGGAGGCCATTACATTCATTCAATTAAATTATTCAGGACTTACTATTTGCTGGGCTCAAGAAATGCTTGAGTGAATAAATGAATGGACAAATGTACTTGGTGGTGCTGTGGGTGACTCAGAATAATCAAGGCCTCTTCCCAGCCCTTAGGAGGACAGTCTAGCTATATAACGGTGGAAGGGATTAAAAACACACAGAAATAGCTGGAATTGAAGCAGGTACCAATATTCGTGGTATAGCAATACTGCTTGTAAATACTGAAAGACAATACGAGTTGGGTAATAGCCACTTCCCTAACCTCCCCCTGGAGGCGTCTTCCCCGCACCCCCCTAGCTACCCTGCCTCTGCCCTGGAGCCCTCACACCTCCCCATGCCAACAGCGAGAGAGGGTTAACACCTGAGAACCGTCAGTATGCTCTCCAGAGCTGTTCTCATTGGCCAGTACCCATGCCCATCAGTTGGTTAATATTTTGACTGTCACTAATGAATCTGAGTAAAGCTCAGGTATGTGCCACAAAGAAATGATGAAAGTAGTAAGTCAACAAAGGAAAATATCTGGAGAGTCGGTTCTATTCTCAGCCATAGTGTTGGGCACCAGCCATAAGTCTGACCAGTCAGGGAGGTCTTTATATTCCCTAGCCTCGGTGACTGGTTCAGGAATGGCAAACGACTCCATCAGATGCACTGGGATGTCACAAAACTTTGGCTGGGACTGTTGGCAGAGAGATAATTATCAATAATTATTCTTTACGATGGGTGTGACTCTTTATGAGATGTGATTCTTGAGGTACCAGGGGGCCTCATGAACCCACAATGCCTGGGGTGGAGAGACAGGAAGCTCCCTGATCAAGCCAGGAAGTCATTCCTGCCTTCTGGGCTACTCAGTTAGCTAGAGCAGGTGAGCTGATTTTTCTCTCATTTTATAATGAAAAAGTCCTGATACTGGGGTGAGGCAGCAAAGGAAATACAATCATAAGAGAGGCAGAAAACCATGCCCGGCATCCTCGGTCCCCTTCTCTCTCAGCTTTGCCACTGGCTCCACACGGTGACCTTTGGGTCTGGCCCCCTTTCTCCTTCCCATTCCCCTGGGCCATCACCCCCATCTGACTTTGATTTCTTACCCAGCCTAGGGTAAAGGCCCTCATCTGTTCATCTGTTTTCACCTGGCCGATCTCAGGTCCTTGGCCAGCAGAACACTGCGCCCCAGCCCTTTTCAGGTCATTGCAAACACAGATAATGACAATCATTGAAGGACACACTGGGGCAAACTAAACATCAGTGTCCATATGGAACCATTACATTTTCTTCATAGTATAAAATGGTGGTAAGAAAAAGTAAACTACGAAGTCCCAAGGATGCTTTATATGAGATTTCAGAATAAAGTATCTTCAAAATGTTAAATGAGAAACTTGAGCTGCCTTCCATGAACACGCCTTTTCTATACCACATTTAATGCTTCAAATGCAGACCTCAAATCCTGATCAAAATTTTTCAGTGATAATCTCTTCAAATTCTCAGTACTCACTGTTAATGAGAAACCTTGCACATGTTGGGAAAAATAAATTAAATTCTTTTTTTTTGCAACTTTTCAAAAATGTCAACAGTTGAAATTGTATTTAAAGAATCAAATAACATTTTCTCTTTTTCATTCCTATGTGCAAGATTCCTGTGGACATTTCTTAGGATAAAAAAGCAAATAGACTTCAAGTCCAGCAGAATTATTTTCACATCAATTATTTCCTAAGAACGATGAATCCCTGATGTGCAGAGTACACGCCCTGTTAAAGCAGCCCCTGGACCCAAAATAACCACCAGCACAACAATGCACCTGCCAGAGCGCACAGGAGTATGACAAACATGGAGGCGGACAGCTCCGTCCCCTCAAGCCCTCAGCAGCCTCCCAGAAGGCCCTTCCGGGTCAGTCACACCTGAGCCATGTGCTCAGCAGCCCCATGGGCTCTTGGTCTGGGCTGGGCAGGGCCATGTTCCGTGGGCCACCCACCCAGTGTCCAAGGTGGGGCACCAGCATCATGTGGGGCTCACTGCTGGCCGCTGTGCTTCCACCTGCGGGAACCCTGGGGTGCTCTCGGGAGCCCAGAGAAATCTCTCAGCTGAAGGCAACAGGCCCTCCATGGTGACCCCAAGGGCTGAGAGGGTGATCACACTTACAGCACACCTCCAACCACTTGGCCACACAGCACAGGGTCTTGAAATAGTGGTTGGGAAGCTCTCTGGACAGCTAGACACATGGTCCCAAAAAACACATGCCATGTAACCACTGCTTGGCAGTCTTGATTCATCTGTTAGCACGGATGAAGCGCCAAACCCCGCCACCTCCATCTCCTCATATTTTCCTTTCTTCCCTTGACCCCACCATTCCCATCATGCCTCCAACGGTCACCTAGAAACCAGACTCGAGGCCCTTTTCTCTGTCCTCAGCTCTCTGACTCCCCTGGGGCAGTCAGAACGTTTTCCTGCCTTCTCTGCCAATCAGCAGCCCCTCTCCCGGCTCCTGTGGCCCTCGATGCCTTTCTCTCCTAGCTTGTTTTCCTTCCACCCACTAACACAGGGGCCCCCGACCCCCTCCACTCCGTGCCTACTACTCGCATTTTTACTATCACTGTGTGTGGACAGTTTAAAGTCTTGCTCATGGTCTGTCTGAGCTCCAACTCTAACTCCTGCCTGCTCTTTGTGGACAGTTCCTCCTGAACCTCCTGACAGCACCACCCGCTCTTCAGGCTCAGAAACCCCTTCTCCTTCACCCCAGCCCCAGTCAGCTCTGCCTTCTCACTTCCGTTTCTGTTAAGGATACTGCTGTTCCCGCTGCCCCTCCCCAGCCACCCCCACCCCTACTCCCAGGCTCAAACCCTCTGAAGGCAACCTGGGCTTCCCAATTGATCATTGAATCTTGATTATTCTCCCTCACAGCCATGTCTTCTCTTTCTGTAGGTGCCACCCTGTTCTAGATTCTTTCCCTCTTACCTGGATTACAACAGCTTCCCAACTGGCCTGTCATCTTATTATTTTTTCTTTCTTCTGTCCCCTTAGACAGATTATCAGCAGTTTACACCCACAGAGACCTCCCTTGTTTAAAAATAATCAAGAACTCCCTCGTGTTGATCAAATTTATAGCCTTCTTAACCAGACATCCAAATCCCTTCATAATCTGGCCCCAGTCTATCTATGTATCCTTAATTTATAGATTCTAGAAATATTCCTTGAGCTCCTATACTTTGCCAGAGTGGCCTCAGTGGTGGCAGTAAAGCAATGAATGAAATCAAATTCTCAATTCACATGGAACTTAGCATTCTAGAGAGTAGTGTCAGGCAGTAGGTAAACAAGTAAACATGTTAGATCATAAGTACTCGTAGCTCCGAGTGGCATCTTACTACCCATTGGTGGTAAAGGGAGTGGCATTTTAAATGGATGGTCAGAAAGACCTCTTTGGTGAAGGGGCATAGTCTACAGACTTGAATGGAGTGACAGTGAGCCTTATGGATGTCTAGAGGAAGGGCATTTCAGGTAGAGATAAGAGAAAACTCAAAGTCCTTAAAGTGGGAACATGCATGGCAAGTTGAAGAAACAGTAAGGAGCCAGTATGGATGAGCAGAGTGAACAAGGATTAGAAAGGCTACATGGGCCTGCAGACCACAGGTATGCATTTCGGGTTTAATTCTAAATGAGGCAGAAGGCACTGGAAGGTCCTGAGTAGTTGAGTGACACATTCTAAAAAAACATTACCAGTAGCTATGTGGAGAATAGAGGGAGTTGGGGATGAAGGAGAGTCAAAACTGGGATGCCAGCTGGAGGCTATTGCAATAATCTAGGCAAGAGATGGGAGGAGAGCTGCTGGAGAGGTGGAGAAGTTGTCAGATTCTGATTATAGTTTGAAGGTTGTGCCGACAGCATTTGCTGATGGATTGGAACTGAAGTGTTAGAGAAAGAAAGAATCAAGAACGATTCTGCAACAACTGGAAAAATGCAGTTGCCTTGAACTAGGTTCTCTAAGAACATTGCGGGAAGAGAAGGAAGTCTACTGGAGAGGGCAAGTTCAGTTTTTGGTGCATTAAGTTTGAGGTGACTATTAGACATCAGGTGAAGATGTCAGATCATCAATTGGACATTTGGGTCTAGAATTCACGAGGGAGATCCAGGCTAGAAGTAAATTAGGAAACTGTGTGTAGACAGTATTAGTGTTCAGACACTACAAGCGATCTCTTAAGAGTGTAGACAGAGGCCAGTGGACTGAACCTCCCCACAACACGTAGAGGTTGAGAAGGTGAAGAGGGCCCTGCCCGGGAGACCAACAGGCAGAAGGAAAGAAAACAGCAGTGGCTTGGAGGCCAAGTACAAAAGGGTTCAACAAAGAGAGAATAGTTCGCGATTTGTTTTAAAAAATCCTGTGTGTGTCAAATGACTTCACTCATTTGTGGAGTATAACAACAAACCAAAACCGAAGGAACAAAACAGCAGCAGACTCACAGACTCCAAGAAGGGACTAGTGGTTACCAAAGGGAAGGGGATGGAGGGTGGGTACGGAGAGAGAAGAGGATTAAGAGGCACTGTAATTCACAATCACAATACAGATGGGTCATGGGGAAGGCAGTACAGCACAGAGAGGACAAGTCACATCCCCAGAGCATCTTAATACACTGATGGACAGTGACTGCAAATGGGGGGCGGGGGGGTAGGGGCGGACTTGATAATATGGGTGAATGTTGAAACCACAATGTTGTTCATGTGAAACCTTCCTAAGATTGTATATCAATGATACTTCATTTTTAAAAAAAAAAGCCTGTGTGTGTGCCTGTGAAGAAGGGTGAGTGACTAGTTGGTATATAAACAAACCTGAACTGCCACAGATTGATCAGTGCCGAATCTGGGCAGACAGGGAATTCACTTTGCCATTTTCCTTTTGTGTGTTTGAAATTTCCCATTAAAAACAAAAACAAAAAAAAACAGGCAGTGAGGAACTGGTTCAAATGTCAAATCAGGAGAGTGGACCTGCCCCTGCAGAGGTCATCGGTCACTGGGACACGAGCAGTCTCAGTAGGGATGAGAGCTTGCTGGCTGGGGTTCAAGAGAGAACAGGAGGAAAGGGTGTGGAGTGGACAAGTGCAGTCACCTCCTCCTAGGAATTCTGCAGGAAAGGTGAACAGAGAACAGGGCGGCTGGAAGGAGAGAACGGGCCAAGGACGGCTGGTTGGTTTCAGACGGAGGGCTTACAGCTGTATTTGCTGTCACCATCCCGCACACAAGCTCTAGGGCAGCCCCTTCAAAGCACCCTTCCCCACATTCCCTGTCTGTACCTCCCCTACCCCATCCATCCCACCCACTCACTGAGGCCTAGACCACATCCCACATTCTGCATCATCCCAGCTGAATGGGAAGTCTTCAAGGTGTAGTTTTCATGTGCAGAATTGTCATGAACTTTTTTATAAGAGAGCTTGGGTTGTGGACTGTTCAGCTGGGTCTCCAGCCCTCATCTTCAGTGGGTATGAGAGCACACTGTGTTTATACTGTAGATCGAAACCACACACTGTTCCCCTGACAGCTTTCAGGAGGAAAGCAGAACTTCTACAGAAAGTTAAAAGTTTCTTATGCCTTTAGATCCTGGAAGATAGCCTCAATAGTAGCAACAAGAATAATATCTTTCAGTTGCCTTTCCCACTCTTAAAAGACAAGGCTAGAAGCGCCAACTCACGCTAAGGGGTCACAGACTGGTATTTATTTTTAAAGCAAACTGAAAAGCCTCAGAAGTTACCCAAGGACTTCTCTTTGAAAACATCAGCAACTGGGCGGGATTAGGTGGGGAGGGAGCGGAGGCTTCCAGTTCAAGATGTGGCAAGCTCAGGGAAAATGAGACCTGTTAAAAACACTACTTCCCACCACTCCCTCGGAGCTCATCACAGAGAGGCGAGCAGGGCACTTCCTTGAGATGCTTCCTGCTGAGAAGTTTCCTCAGAAGCATTCATTTTCAGTGCAAAAGGCAAGAACAGACAAGACACTTCTCTCAGGATTAAATACAAGACGCATGAGAGAGGGCCCTGAAGAAAGTCTTAAGAACAAGAGAGGTTATCAGTGCTGCTGTTAGGATGAGAGGGCCGGAGTGACAAGAACCAAATGCTGTAAGGCTGAACTGAGGGAGATGGCAGCAAATACAGCTTGACTGAGTCTCGGCAGCAAGTCAACGGGGCATTGGAACCTCCTGCCCAAATCACTGCGGGGTGCCCGCTGCCGCCAAGCCCTGAGCTGTGGTCCCCAGGTGACACAGCCCTGCTGCTCGGGAGCCCCCATATGGAGGGGCCAACAGGGCGTGAAGTCTAGGAGGCTGCCTCGGGCAGGAAGGCCTCCTCGCTCCAGAGGCTGAGGGAGGCTGAGGGTTTCTGGCAGCAGCCGCAGCAGGCATCCCAAGCCACAGCCCCTGGGCTTACAGGGCGTGGAGCTCCGGGAACAGCATGCAGTCGCACAGCTGTAGCGCAGGGCAGGAAGGAGACCCAGATCTGGATGCCCAGGCTGAGGCCAGGCCACGGAGGGAGCCCCTAGTGGGCAGGAGGAACAAGAGCAGGTTCGTGGTTTGGGAAGGTCGTTCTGATGGCAGTGGTCGAGGGACAGACAGACTGTGTGCCGACTGCAAGGTGGTGAAACCTGGTGACTCTGTCCGTCTGGTTTGCTGTCAAGGCCAAATTCAGTTTGGGGGTATTTTCAAGCATTCAGATAATTTCGTTTTTTGCCGATACACCTTATGTCACAAGAGCACAACCAACCATTGTGGGCTAGTTTTATTACGGCCAGGTCTGGCTATGAGAGTGACCTTGGGCTTCTTCCCTGAAGGTTTTCTTGCTCTTCTCCCTGCCCACAACCCCTGTCTGGAATTTCACATATTCAGTGATTCCCAAGAGGGGTCCATGAAAAAACTTTCACTAGTTTGGGGTAAAATGGAGAAGCAAAGGATAATGTGGCAAGTCTTTCATAGAAAAAATTTGTCCTATGTAACAATGCATTCTTTCTTCTAAATTATGTCCTACTTCCTTTTAGGGTGTTACAATTCCATTTTTTTAATGAAGTGATGGTAACATAATTTTTTGTGAACGATCTTCCAAGCAAAATAGTTGGCAACCCCAGATCTGTGCACTGATTATTTTTTGAAATGTGCAATCTTCTTAGAAGCCTGGGAGGCCCCTGCTTTGAGTGCCCACCACCATCACCTTGCTCACCGTGCACAGTGGCCACCTGCTATCAGAGAGGACAGTGACAGTCAGAAAAATGCTGGCCCCAGGTGTAATTTAATCACTTATTTCTTCCTATTTACATCTTTGCAATTTTGCATCTTAATGAGAACATTAAACTTCTTTTCAGGGCCTCTGTGTCACATTTTAAAACTGTTAAGTAAGTGGGAAGGGAGAGAAAAGGGGATTGAGGGGTATTATGTTTAGTACACATGGTGTGGGGGGTCACGGGGAAGAGTGTAGCACAGAGAAGGCAAAGAGTGACTCTGTGGCATCTTACTATACTGATGGACAGTGACTGCATTGGGGTGTGGGGTGGGAACTTGATAATATGGGCAAATATAGTAACCACATTGTTTTTCATGTGAAACCTTCATAAGAGTGTATATCAATCATACCTTAATTAAAAAAACCGTTAAATAAGTAGTTAAATAAGATCCTAAAAATATATTTCCTTCTCTGCTCTCAACTCCATCTCCTTATTTCAGGACAGGTGTTTGATGCTAATTTCTCATTAGCACTGAAGAAACAACTTAAATAGTTCGGGACCCCTGGCAGAGACTGTAACAAAGCCTACAGGATAATAATGAATTTACAATAAATTAAGTGCTGGAGTCGGAAGGACCTGTGTTTGGGTTCTGCCTCACAGTTGCCCACTCTGGGTCACTCAAACCTCTGAGTCTCCGGATCCTCAACTACACAATGAAGTTAATAACAGAACCTACCCACACAGATTGTTTACAACAGCCCTGGTGCTTTCAATAATGGTAATTTGCCATTATTGTGAACAGAGGTTATTTAAAAAGCACTGGCTTTACAAGAATCATGCTAGACCAGAAAAGTTTCTTTTTGATAATCTGGCTCAATCTTGGCAGTTTGCAGATGGGGGTGGGGTGGGCAGGGAGAAATGACTTGTGGAGAGAACACAGGACCAATGAGAGGCAGAGCTTACGCTTGGTCCCCAGGTCTAGCCCAGGGTTCTCTCTACCATATTAGCTTTCTCTAGCTGGAAGAATTTGGTTCTTGACTTTCAAGGGTTTTTTTGACCAGAAATGATTACATACATAGTTCAAAATGGTGGTATCATTTAAACATTTCAAGATGGCAAATTCCATGCTACAAAAATGCATAGGTAATAAATATAAGGTCATCATTTCAGAATATTTATTGCTGAGTATTCTAAAATAATTAAATGCATTTAAAAAAATAATGTAACAGTATACCTACCTGTACAATAGAGTGCTAAGATGAGGTGATAAATAGGAAATTATAAACATCTTATAAAGATGCGCTTTCACCACTCCCTAACACTGATATCCCCCATGTCATTAAATTTCTGGGTTTCTCAGGAAGAAAAATAGAAGATTTTCCCAGTCTTCAGGCTAATCTCTAGAATGCAACAAAACCAGATGGACGATGTTGGGTATGGTTGATTAGCAGGAGGATCTGTTGCCAGCAACGGAAGGGACACAAAAGCATTAGTTAGATAAAGGGACACAAAGGCTTCACCAGTAAAATAAAGTATATAGACACCTTCTGTTACTTTAAATCAGTAGTTTTATTAAAATACACACTGACACACAAGTTGAGAAGGAATGTCCTGACTTTTTCTGAGCATTTCATGGAAAGCAAATGGAACCATCCAGGTAGCTGAGTCATCCACATCTTTTCCAAACACGAACAAAAGCTTTTACATGTGAAAACTCAGGAAAACAAAGTTTTCTTATTCTTGTCTGTAAAATTTAAGTGTCAGAAAATGGTTACTGTGAAGAGGGCTAAAAAGGGAACTGTTTTCTTTCTGATGTTCCAAACCCTGCCTCTCAACTGTCCCCTGCCTTTCTAGATGACTTTTGATGATATTGCAGATGGTAGTGTGTTTGGGGCTAAACAGGGTCTACTTATAAGGCCACCAATTATACTTCACTGTAAATGAAGGAAAAGGAATAAATTGAGAAAGTTAAGTCCTGGAAAATGCACAAAGAAAAGGAAAAATATCTGGGTGTATTAAAAATGGGATGCTCTTTTCACATAATTCATTTAAAAGGTCACAATTACCATAGATATTTTAACTCCATTAAAGATCACCAGTAAATGTTTGGTCTTCTATCTGCAAAAGGACTCTGCACTTACACAGGCTCAGAAGAAAGCAACATACTGTACGAAAAGAGTCACTGAGCCTGGTGAAGCAGGCACCAGACTATTTGGAGTTGCATAGGAGTTTTTTTTCAGACTCGCTTTGTACAAGATACTACCGGACCTTGACAAATTTCCGTCTTGTGATAGCTACTATGGCAGTCAGGTGCTTCAATCCCTGCAGCGCCCAAAAGCACAAAAGCGTTCTAGGAAAAAAACACTAAAACGGCATTTTGGATATCATTCACTATACCTTACATGATGGGAACAACAAAGGAAAAAGCCCAGGCATGGCTCTAGTATTTCATATAGAAAAGCACTGCAGGAGAAAACTGTTTAAAAACATTAAAACTCAGGTGAATATAAATACATTTTTGGTTAATCTGTGCTATATCATATAGAAATCCTGTCGGACATTCAGTCTACTAGGTAGCTTGTCTGGATTTTCATATCTATTAGTAGAAGAATATACACTGCTGCATATACTCACAGATATATGCATATACATACATAAAATTCAGGTCATGGACATTTGTTTTAAATACACACATTTAAAACCTGTACCTCTAAAAATAAATACATTAGCCTCTAATCGGCTAACTCTCAGAGTTCCTTCACAAACCAATCAGAACACAGTTTCTTAACAATGGCAGGTGACCAATTAGCTGCTCTTTAAGTTCATTATCTATCAGTAAATGCTTTAAAATTCAGATGTACAACAGAAATAGCATCCCCAGAATAGAATACAGATAGATTTCTGGCTTTGAAAATACATGCCTTGGCTTCCTTGATGTTTGGTTCCTACAGATGTCTACTCCTTGCCTCCGCACTTATCTAGCAGTAGGAGAGCATTTTCTAGCGACAGCATTCTATTCCGCTAACATTCCCTTCCAATCAAAGGAGTCAGCTGGCATTCCCTTTGCCGTTTGGTTCAAGGGAACTAACACAACATCATCTGTGTTTGATGTCACAGTGAGTTGTGTTTTAATGTAATTTACAATGTGCTGACACCACTGAGGTAAAGCCGAAGGAGCCCTGGCATTAAAAAAAAAAAAACCCCAGGAGAACCACACATAAAATATGGGCAGTGTAGATTGAAGTTCTCAGAAGTAACTCAAAACCAATGCCAGAGAGGGCATGTGGGTATCTGATACGTAGCTCAAGCAACAGAAACAGATGAAAATACTCAACGTACTTCCTTTAGCGAGGATGCAATTCGCAAAAACGGAGCTTTATGCTTCCACGTTTACATTTCAAAAAAAAACTTCTTAAAATGATATAAGCTGGACCAAGTTGTTTAATATAAGTACCATACTTAACAACCCTGTCATTTCACTACAAGAATCTCAGAAATGCAGGAAATCCATGATAAATGAGAGCAAGAATGTGTAATGCCATTGCCTCTATTTTGTAAAAGGAAAACTTACCAGAGTTGAAATACAACTTCTAAAAAACAGTGTTCTATGTACTCACAGTTCCAAATTGCTAACTTTATAAATTAAAGATGAAAGTTACCCATATATAAACAAGGCCTCTTTTTCATTAATTTCAATCTTGTTCAAACCTTTGGATATTTCATTCTTCAGATTCCACAAGGTAAGGCTGAGTTTATCGGCTATAAATAACATGTGTAAGTCCGTGATGCCCTGCGCACTGAGGAAAACAAACGCATCAAATATTTACAGGCTGGCTACAACACTTTCCGTTTTTAAAAAACTTCAAATGGGTATCAACATCAAGCCACACAATCTCTTTTTAATTTCTCTGTCTGCAAAAATGAGCACAAGCAGTTTTTTTCTCAGTCGTCTTTCCTCTCACTCCTTAAGTCGGAGGCAGGTCTTAGGTCATAGGGCGCGGTCTTTTGGGAGGTGGGGGAGGCATGAGCTCCGTGTCAGGGTCCAGATGGTGCTTCCGCTTCTGTCCTTGAGAAGCTGCTGCACATCTGTCGATGAACTCGAACAGCATCTCCTTGGTGACAGGGTTTGAGATGCTGTTGCACACAGCTGTGGACAAAGGGAGACGTGTCTCACGTGAGGGTTAATTAAGGCAGCTGACTCACCACAGGGAGAGGAGTCGGGGCAAGGTGTCCATCCCCACATGCGGGACACTTCCGTTTCACCCACGGGTGATGTGCTTCGGCGTCAAGTATTCTCCTCGCCCTTCTGCCCCCAAGAGAGTGCTTTTCTGGTGGCTACTCTTTCTGTATTATTAATTTCAAACCATAAGTTTAAGCATTTGGGTGATAAGCGCATCTTCACTATGGTTTTCATCTGTCCAAAACAGTTTTCATGGGATTTTAATCTAGCACACTTTAGTCCATATGCAACCAAAATTTCTACAGAACAATGTGTGCTATATAGTCCTCCAGTCTTTCTCTCAGAAAGACGTCTGCACTGCGTAGCGTATGACACAGCGCCAGCCACCATTCCCACTGAATAGGTTTCACTGCAGCTGGCAGATCATATTTTAATAACTTGCTTGAAGTAAGGTATTATGACAAAATGAGTAATAAATAAAGCATCTTTTCTTATGTGATCAAAATTTAGTACCAGTCCTTTTATTTACCTATTTGGTTTGGGGGAAAAAAAGACACTGGCTTAATTATTCCTATTTTCAAATTTAACTCATCTTGTCTGAACACAGACGCTAGTTCCAACAAAAACCTTTAAATGCACAATGGCAACTTCCAAACTGCAAAACTCAAATCAGCAATTTCTGTATTTTTCCCTAAGTTTATCACATCATCATCTTCACCATCATCAGACTGAGCACTCTAAAAACACATGATTCTATTAATCTTCTACTTGTTTTTTATCTGGTTTTTTCAACTCCCTTAAAAATGCAATCCAGAGCGGCAACTGCTACCAGTAGTTTATCTCATAAACTTCGGTTGTCGTGTTCCCCATGAAAGAAATGGACGGTCCTGGTTCTGAAAGCATTCATACTGTACCCAAAGAACGCTCTGAAGGACAGCACAGCAGGTTTTAGGTTTGGTGGGATTTTTTCTTTAATGGTTTGCACTTACTTTGTTCTCCATTGTTTGTAAAGCTATTTTAGGAGCTGGAAATTACATTTTCCCCTGCTAATTTTGTCTTTTACCATCTGGCAAACATGGTTTTATAGTTTTTAATAGATCTGAAATTATCGTGGCTTTGTTGCTGTTCAACAAATTCAGCTTGTATGCAGCCCACCGCCCTGCCCTTTAACCTTCCCTCCCCGGCGCAGGCGCGCAAGCGCGCAGGTCGAGCAAGAAGAACCTGCAGGCTGACTGGAGCCGAGGAGCACAGAGCCGGGCCGCACCCCGCTCCCCAGCAACCAGGGACGGGGTCTGAAGGGCTGTACTCCACCAGGGAGAACAACAAAGGCAGCCCATTTCTCAGACCTGACCTTTCTTTTCCTTCAGCTGTAACCGGCTGTGGCAGGTTGTCACACTCACCCATGGCGGTGTTGTAGGCATTCGGAAAACTTTTGTCTGTTCTCTGTCTCATGAAGACCCAGCTGTTGTTCTCGAATTTACATTCTATAATTTTGTTGTCATACTGTTTTAGATCTTTTGTCACCTGTTTTAAAAGAGAATTGGGGAAAATATTTAAATCAGATGAAGGGCTTTTTGTCTGCACTGTGTGACAGGGACAAGGAATGCCAGGCGCACCGCAGTGCCTCTCCACGCAGAGGTTTTTGTCGCCTGAAGTGTCTCATCAGCCCACGCATACGGTGTGCTCTCCCTGCCCTACATGCTCAGGAACCTGACATTTCATAATGGTCGTGCCAACGGCTGTCAGTACACAGCAGTTAAGAGAGGCTAGGCGGAATCCAGCCACTTCTAGGCCCGATGCAAATACGTTACCACAGACAGGGGTGCACATCCCGCTGTGGCTTTCAGAGACTGAGTGGGCTGCTAAGGGCTCATCAGCTTTCAGAAAGGTCTATTATCTAAATTCCTATATCCAAACCTAGGAAATACCCTTCACTAATCGAAAGAAGAAGTTACACATAGAAAGTAAACATTAAGATCAGATTCAGGTACTGTGCATCCGACTATTTTGCTTTTCAAGCAGTGATAATTAACCAAAAATCTAATCTTTAGATGATTTACCCTTTCCATCTCCAAACTAGTATGAATTTTGAGATGAAGCTACTTTTGATTTTTAGTTAGTGGGTTTTTGGCTACTTCACCTCAGATGATTGAATATAGATTACAACTTACTCTATCATAGCTAACAAGTATCCATGGTAACTATAAAACCTTTTAAAAGATATTTCATCAGGCTGTGAGGATGGTTTTCATAAATAGGAACCTAAGCTTATCTCTGCAGTTTTCAAATCAAATGCCAGTCATGGTAATATTTTAATTTTGTCCTCATCTTTCACAGCTAACAACTTTTCCTCACAATATGGTAGATTGCAATCATTTAAAGTTCATTAGCATTATTTGAAATGCTTTCATTTTTCTACCCATATATTCACTACCACCTAGGAATATGAAGGGAAACAAATTTTTAAAAGATGCTCTCAATTCACCAATTAGGCAGTGAATATCTTCATAAAAACTTTCAGACTGTATTCCTTTTCCCTTAATGAGTATTGCATTTGATTGAACTATTTGCATTTTCAAAAATTCCTAACAGGGCCAATACATTTGGTGGCTCTGGAACCAGACCTACACAAAAAGTGATGCTTCATTTAGCAAACTTGCTAAATTCATTCTCAGATATTTATTATGCTAGTAATAATAAATAACTCCCCTTCTTCCTTGCCTAGGGATCTACCTACTTATACTTTTGGTACATTATCTATAACCAAATGTTAGGTAACTCATTCAGTTAGGTAACCAACCACACTCATGTTACATCAAATGTAGGTTCTCTCAACAGAGGTAAGTTTCTAAACCTTTTAGTCTCCATTTTCTAATATCTAAAATGGGCAAAGGAGGTTCTAACTTGCTGGGACACTGGAAAATAATAAATCAAAGTGCCCGGCACATAGTAGCCAAGCAACAAAATTCTTAATTGAATAAAAAATTAGGAAATGAAACATTGCGTATTAAAAAAAACTTTAAAAGTAAATTCACTCAAGAAACCAGGATGACATGAAAAGGTAGTTTGAAAACAGCTGTCAAGAAAATTGTATCATATCCATTATACAAGAATGACTTGCTATCAACAATGTGCAGTCTATAGTTTTACTGACAAGCCATTGTAGTTAAGTCTTACAGCTAATCACATGGCTCATCATTCCGTTCCTAGTTTCAGAATTGCTATAAATTATGTGTTGCTCAATCTGACTACAGCAATTAAGCAGTATTATTAAGTATCTGTGTATGTATTTGGCATGCATTAACAATCTAGGAAACAGAGCTGTCTATGGACCTGCCACTATATTAACCTAAATGTATCTTCATGTTCAAGAACAGTGCATCATTCATCATTGGTCACATCGGTTATCTTACCAAGAAAGACACACTACAAGGTGCCTTGATCAGGCAGTAAAATATATTTAACTGATAAAAACAATGCTTCCCATATGTACATAAACTGAAGACAGTAGTCACTAATGGTCAGATCAAGAGAATGACTGACATACAGAGGAGGAGTTTAATTTTAGTATCCAAATCCTAATTTGTTACTATGACAATAATCATCCTCAGCCAATTACTTTTTACTATTTACTAAAACAGGAGCCTGATAGGCCTTCTATAATAACTCTGTTTTCCTAGTCTGAGTTAATGAGAGCTTGAAAGTAATAAGAATAAAATATTTATAAATCAGGATTTCACATCTGTACCCATAATTACATTGAATTAATGAGACTTTCCTGTTTTTGAAAGAAAAAAAAAGAGAGCAATATACAGAGTATTTTACATTAAAATTTTTTTTCATGTATCCATTTTATTGAGAACTACACTTTTTCTTTTATTTGAATCTATCAATAATTTGGGGTTAAGACAGTCAGATGAAACCAGAACTAGTATATCTGAAGGTTTTAGATTAGCAGTCTAACAAGAATATCTTGAACAAAGGGCCCAAAACACAGGCAGGTAGAATCCCAGTTGCTCCACTCTGCACTGTGTTAACAGAATACTTCTTATTACCTAAGCACTGGGCACACCAAGTCACTGAAAGCAGACTGCCAGTGTGGGCGGAACTGACCTGTACAGAGCTGGCAAAGGTGTGTTTCTATCTCTAGAGGTGGGAAGGAAGCCTCTGCTCATGAGGACTGTTTTGTTACGAAGAGCTCTTCTTTCTTTTAGAGATACTGCACAAAAGCTTAGGGGAGAAATTTCTCTGAACTAATGTCTGGAGACACTAAAATAACAAATATCCTTAGATGGAAAAAGCCACGAGTGAGGTGTGGCTTTCTTTTAAATTTTGCATTTTGAAATAATTTTAGATTTACAGAAAAGTTGTAGCGATAGTACAGAGAATTCCAGTATTCCCATTATCCAACTCCCTCTAAGGTTCGTATTTTATACATGAAGGTACATTTACCAACTCTAAGAAATTAACATCGGTGTGACCCAGTTAATTGAACCACAGACTTTATTCTGACTTGGGCAGTTTCCATGCTCATGCCTGTGTCTGCCCCAGGAGCCCACCCAGGGGGCCGCAGTACGTGGCTCCTCAGTCTCCCCGAACTGCGGTGGTTTCAGACTCTCCCTGATACGTCTGAAGAGCACTAGTCAGAAACACTATTATATATCAGTTGAGGATTTTCTGATGTTTCCTCATAACCAGAATGACGTTCTTCATTTTGGGGAAGAATGCCAAGAGGTGAAGTGCCTTCTCACTGCACAATAACTGCAGCCTTACGATGGCAACTTGACTACTACTGGTGATGTTAACCCTGACCTCTTAGTTAAGATGGTATCTGCCCAGTTTCTCTACTATACAATTACTATGTATTTCCTTCCACATTCTTTGATTAGTTATGACCCACCACGTCCAGCCCCACTCAAGGATAAGAGAGGTAGGCTCGCCTTCTTGGAAGAAAGCATATCAAAGAATTTGTAAACATTTATTAAAACCACCACATAATAAGTTTCTTGAGAGAAATATTTATACTGCATATTTTATTTCTCCTTAAAGTTTCACTTAATTTTAGCATTCATCCATGAATCTTCCTGTAGCAATGATTATTGCTGTGTTCTATGGGACTTTCTATTTCTTCTACTCCTACATTTATTATCTGGACTTCTTCTGTAAGGAAGATTTGTCCCGTCTCCATCATTTATTTGCTTATTTATGTCAATATGGACTCATGGATATTTACTCTACTCTTTGGCTCATAATAAAATACTATTGTGGTTTATTTTGTTGGTCAAATTGTTTCCATTTGGCCACTGGGAACACCCTGCAGTGGTCCCCTGGGTCCTTTTAACCTGTTTCCACTTGTACTTGTTTATTTTTTTATCATTAGCATTTACTTCCTGACGACAAGATGCTACTTCAGGCTCATCCTGTATCTTCTCCGCCCCAACACTGCAGTCGGCCACTGGGTCCTCTAGCAGGATTCTGTGAGAACAGAATTACTCTGCAACAGTTTGGGCTGTGCTAAGAAAGGACTGCCACCACGTGTTTTGGTCAGAATCTAAAATTATTAATTGACAGAAAGAGAAGGAGTGAAAGGGAGTGAGAAAAACAGAGGGTGGCAATAAAACTCTAAATACGAATACGTTTGCACTCAGAGGTTTTTATCCCAGCTTTTGTGAACTGCTCTCTCGAGCTAAACTAAGTTGGCCCTTTTTTGTTTTCTGTTATAATCTACTTTGTGATAATTCAAGTTCTATCCCTACAGTGTGGCAGAAGGTAGATCTGAAAAACCTATTTCAAGTAGATGAACTCAAATAAAAATCTTATTTTCATGTAAATAGCTGCAATTTCTAATACTTATGAAGGCAGAGTAACAAATAAATCAGAAGTGAAATGGAATTATAAAAGTTTTCTTTGTGGTGTCAGAAATAATACAGTTTAAATCTCAATTATTAGATAAATACTCTTTTAGAAGTACTACATTATATTACTTGCAGGAGGTGCATCCATCTATTGGAGGAAGTAAAATACTTGACAAGCTACCCTTTAAAAAAGTTTCTAAAAAGTTCCTCCACTAAACTCTACCTGTGCTGTGCCTCCACAGTGGAGAACTACTGGGTAATAACACACCTGCCCGTGCCGGGTCAGAAGCACTGCGGGAGGAAGCCTCTTTCTCCTGGATGGTGGGGTCGCTGAATCCTCCAATCAGGTGTTTACTGAAAGGAGCTAATGAGAGAGAGCGGCTAGGACTCTCTTATTTACCTTAAAGGTCATTGTAAAGAAGTCTTAAGTCCAAGGTATGCTGGTCCCACTAAAATACAGACTACTGCCTCTTAATAAAATCAGAATTAGTCATAGTTATTATTCAAAATGTAATAAATCTTCATAGAAAAAACTGGACAGATAAAACAACATATTAGTTCTGTTATTGGTGGATGATAGAATTGGAAATGACTTATTTTCTTCTATGTTTTGCTATACTTTCCAAATTTCCATTTTACACATGCTTAACTTTAATAATAAGAAATTCC